GTTGTTTCTGTTGTCACTGTGTGTGTGTGTGTGTGTGTGTGTGTGTGTGTGTGTGTGTGTGTGTGTGTGTGAGAGATATTCTGCCAGTTCCGCCTCAGTTGCCTCCTCTCAGTGCTAGGCACCCATTTAACCTCACCTCGCACACCAACCACCCTGCTAACTCAGACACACACCGGCACCGTGACACACACATAGACAGATGTCAGAAGGGTGACGATGTGAATGAAACACAGCCCCACAGCTGTGTGTGTGTGAGAGAGAGCTGCACAAGTGTGAGACTGAGGCCTGCCCCTCTGGCTGATGCAGAGCAGGTGGAGAGATCCAGCGTGCTGGGTGTTTGCCAAGAGAAAGGACCACACCAACAAATATGGAGCACATGCAGGGAAACGTAACAGACACGCCGAGCAGACGCGCACAAACAAAAGCAGGCGGTGAAAAGCAGCTTTTGTAAAAGCGATATAGATAGAAATATTATGCCCGTTTTGTCCTTCACGTTATCACAAACTATCTCTCCTGTGCCTCGTTTGCACAGTGCTCTCCACATGCCATAAATCCTCCATTTCTCTGTTGAGCTGTTATTCTATATTTACACCTGTTTGTTATGTGACGGCTCACATCTAGACAACCTTGAAAATGCTGCGATCAAGGCTGATAACTACAGGTTGCGATTGCACTTTGAAGACAAAACAACATTAATTAGCGAATAAAATGGAAATGCAGGCATCACATGCACGCTGCCTCCAAGTTCGCCTGGGTATTTGGAGAGAGAGACGGGGAGATACAACATTTCATACATATTTCCATCTGTAATCCCTCTCTCTTTTCCTGTGATAGCTGTGCTCTGTGAGGTACATAAACAGGATGCTCGTCTGCATTGATAAGGCATGCTTCAGTGTGTGACAGGTCATCTTTGTACTGGAGGAGTGTAACCTCTCAGTTCTTGCTAAACCTTCAGGATGCACGCAGATCCTCTCCCCTCCATCTGCTGGTCTCTATGAAGTCTGCACCCGATCACAGGAGCTTTGACTGCAGCTTCTGTCTCTACCACATTGCAGTCATACCTAACCCCTGAGCCAGATCAACAACACGCAGGAAAATAAAAAGACGCCAACATTTTTTTTCTTTTTAAGTGTTTAAAATGTGCTTTCAGCCTCTGGGTGCAAATAAAATCTGCAAATTTAGCAGTGAAAAGCTGGAATGCACTGAAACCTGCACACAAACAAAAACACTGTGTGGGTCTTGTTCACAGCTAATACTGCTATTGTGCAAATTATGTGAAATTGACCATGTTTTCTTTATTTCACAATGTTTGAGTTTGGCCTAAAGTGTGTCATGTTTACAAATAATCAGATGAATTATTGTCTAATTGAGTTGGTCTTTGTATAAACGACTTCATTTTTTAATGTAAAAAACATTGCAAGTAAACTCAGATTAATTTTAAGCTTTCTATAGTCTTTTTAGCTTGGATCACATGTCTAACCTCAACAATGCAAATGCAGATTTCCATATTATTTCAGGTGGGAGTGTTTGGAGTTACGTTTAACTGAAATTCCACTCTTTTTTTGGGAGTGACCAGTATCTGATCTTCCCACATTAGATCACTACTAATCTTGTTTTACATAAACGACTTCGCAACCCGCTGCACCAGTGGTGTCACAGCTTAAGCTCTCTAACATAATAATGATACAATAAATGAGTAGAGGACCACCTGTTTTAGCTAACATCCATTCCCTGCATGCTTCCTTGGAATGCTACAGGATTAATGGGCAACTGTAAAGTACGGTCAGCAGACAGATGTTCATCCAGTGGTTCTAAAATTCCAGGAGGGGTTAAATAATATGGAATATGTTATGGAAACTTTCAGGCTATTTTTGTTTGCTAAGCCACTTTTTTTTTTCCTTTCTTTTTTTCTCCTTTGGCCTGTCCCGTTTGGCTCTTTTGCATCAGAATTGTTGTCTAAAGGCAAAGAAAGATACCCAACGGATTTACTTTACCAAATTGACCATCCCAGCCTTGCCGTAATGGTCCATTTGATTCACCTTTTATTGTTTCTTTTATTTTCACTTACTGAATACGGGACAGACTTGACTGGGGGAAAGAAGGGGAGAAAGAAAGAGGGAAAGAGAAACAGCTGAGAAGAGGGACGGGGGAGAAGGGCAAAAGACAAAAACCAACAGTTTGCTAAGCCACTTAACGCTGACTTATGAATAGAATATTATTTTATTCCAATTTCTTTAGATCTCTGCTAATCTACCACAAGTGATCAGGCTTTTGAACTGCTGACATTCTGCACACACCATGACACACTCACTACAACCACTGGACTCTACACACTGTCACTTTAAATCTTTACTGCACAAGTTTTTGCACAAACTGTAAATACCAAACAGTTGTCTTACGTTCTGTAATATTTAATAATTTAGTATTTTGTTATTTTTATTATTATTTTCCTCTTTAATATAACTGCACACTTCTATATGTTCATGTAAAGCTGAGGAGCAGAAGCCAAAGAATTTCATGTGGCTACACTGTTTATCTGTACGTGACAATAAAACTTGAAAAATGCCACCGTGTGGCAGACATTAAATAGTATTTTGCTTTGCAGTGTGTTCTAAAAGGTAATCTGAGGAAACTGAACAGGTGGAGGACAAAAGATGAAGCATCATGGCTGATGAACTGATGATGCAGATTTCATGTCCTATAGGAACAAAATCCAGCAAAGACCTGACACAGGGCATGCAGGAGGCATCTCGCCATTCAGCTGATCCACCTGCTGTTTGCCTCGTCAGAAATGGTCAAGAAGCCATTTTTAATAAAATGCCAAATTACAGTAGAACTGGCTGAAAAGCAGTGGTAGTAGGTTTCATGGAGTGATGAATCCAAATCTAAATGACATCAATATGCAACACTCTCAGTCATGGATGGGGCTCCCCAGAGCCTAGACCTCAGCAGTGCTGAAGCAGTGTGGGATCATTTTGACAGGAAATGGAACAAAAGGCAGCCAACATCTAAAGCAGACCTTTGAATGTCTTTCAATGAGCCTGGAGAACTATTCCTGAAGACTACTTAAAGAAATGAGAAGAAAGCTTGTCTAAAAGAGTTGAGGAATAAAAGTGGTCATGCTAAATGTTGACTTTCAGAAACTCTGGTTTGGCTCTATACTGGATTTCCGTGTGTTTTCCCAGAGAAATACAACGAAATGAGGTCTAACAACTTTGGTTGTTGTTTTTATTGCCATCACTTATGGAATATCGGAACATTCACGCTGCGGCCAAATTCTTGTAAATTCAGGCTCGCTGTCATCAGTTCTCATTTGTGGGAATATCGTTCAGCATGTGTGTTCAAACACATCAGAGTTAAATGTCACACTTACAGTAAAAGGTCTCTGTAAACTCAGCGATTCAACCTACTTCATTTCCCCTGGAGGAAGAACCTTTTCCATGCTGGTTACCTGCGAGCGACACCTGAAAGTTTGGAAAGGAACAGAGCGAAATAGATGAGAATGCTTCCCTTTCAAAAAAAAATATCCCCAAATCAAAAGGAGATCCTCTCTGTTAAATAAACAATAAAAAAAGAACACAAAAAGTTTGCCATTGGTTTAAAGCGCCACATCAGTGCAGAGAGCCACTTTTAGAACAATGGAAACCCAACACGATTATTAAACAGTTTTCTACCAAACACGTGGAGGCATGCGTGTTGAACTACAGGAACTCGGGGTGCAGCTCCCCTCGCAGACTGATGCATTACTTTTCATCCATCCATCTAATTATTCCCTTAGAAACCTGAAATTTGAAGATACAAAAGACCATCCCTATCTGTCACTGAGCGGCATTGATCTTATTGAGAGAAAATGTGGGTGTAGAGGAAACCCAATATAACTCATGCCATTAAATTCCACACAGCATTATTCACATACAGAATTGACAGATTTCTGTGAGACGTTTCTTTTAATCTTCAACTGTTGTTGAAGAAAAAGGGGGAAAAAAATCCCACACTCCAGGCATCTCTCCTTTCTCCATATTTGCAGTGAGGTTAACAAAAAAGGCGATTGAAGTAGGGAGAAAAAACACAGCCCCACCTAACTTGTTGATTATTAACAATGGGGATGGGAAGAAGACAGATGTGTTTCCTGTGTATCAGCGCTGTTTGAATTGTCAGTCTGAAATCACTGCTGAAGCTCTTATCAAAGCAAAGTAAGCTGATCAGTTCCAGTTGCGCTCGCTGTCCACGCGAGTCAATCCGCGGCACCATTTTTTGTCAATAAATTCTCCTAATATTCCCAATTACAGACTCTGCGCGTGTCATGTGCACACGTGCAATGATGGCAAGCGAGACTGAGCAAATAGCCGAGAGTACGCGTGTGGATCAGTGGATTCGGCGCAACCTGGCTGCCTGAACACACTTAAACCTTCTTACACTGCCTCAACAGATTGTCATGCAAATTCTGAGCAAAGTTGGAATACCAAATATTTTAGTTTTGTTGCAACTTAAGAATGACATCCTAGACAGTGGTGGGCGGTATAAAGAAAAACGCAACGATTCTGAGCAAAGATTGCCATAAAAAAAAAACCCAAGTCGAGATAATCGCGGGAGGCTTGGACAACAGGCCCACTTGAAGTGGGCCATCTTGCCCTATGAAAGCTAGGACCATCTTCTGTTCAACCACAGAAGTGAACGGGAGACGTGGATGGAATTTGCAACACTAAGGTGCAACTTTTTGGTGTAATGCAACTTCTTTAAACTAAACACAGAGCGATAACTGTAAATCTATTTATCCATCTAAATTATTCGGGTGTGAGCTGCACAGCTTTTGAGGTGCCTGCTATAGACATACCTGTTTTCCTACAATATAAGCAGATGCCACTTGTCTACAAGTGCGTTTGAAAAACCCAGCAGCAATTAAAAGTGAAAAGCTCGAGAAAGAGCCGGTAAATGCACCGTAAGTTGAAACAGGAAACTTCTCCTCTGTCCGTAAATAACACGATTCAAAGTAAAGACAGCGCGAGGTGGTGAAGCTGCTCCTTTGAATCTCGCGGTATTTGACAGTTTCCCTTCACTCTTTGACACTCGCCCCTCCCCTGGGCTCCGGGAATGCTGGGTTGTTTACATTAGAGTCACACGGGTCAGCGTTGTGGTGATGAGGGGGGCCTAGTAGTGGAGAGTCTGTCCGAAAACACGTACACATCTCGCCTGGCTGTGCGGCACAGGCGCTCTCTGCGAGACAACTTTCCAGCTCAGTCACGGTGCCACGCAGGAACAGAGGCCCACCGAGTCCACTTCTCGCAGCGACCTTGGAAAGAAAGGGAAAGTCAAAACAAAGATAACCGCCATAACCATCAGGAAAAAGCCTCAGCGTGAAGAAGGAATAGCTTAGCAACTGTCTCCCACTTCCTGGTAAGAACTGACACGGCGTTAGCTGAAAGTGAACTTTTTGAAACTCAACTACTGCTAATGAACTCCTCGTAAGCTGTTGCCCTTTGCGCTTTAACTTCCTCGGAAAGTGACAGAAAAAGTTCGTAGTAGTCACCAGTTGCCCTTCAGACACAAGTTTGTCACTCATTTGAAGAAGTTTTTCGAAGTTCGCTAGCTAGGCTAGCTTGTTAGCTTCCTAGCATGTCGCTTTGCGGACTTTATCTTTATAAAACCGGACAGTCGAAGGTGTCAGCAAACGCTTCCAGCTGCTTTGTAACGTTTATATTACAATGTACGCAAAACGGCTTTGTGCTAAAGTGCTAAAGCGGCTAATCCTGCGGTGCCAACGTGACAGTGGACACTTGTTGCTACAATGTTACAGTCATGTTACACGTACAGCTTTCAAACAGTAGTAATCACACACCGCCTCGGTGATGTAGAAGAACACGACTGTCTTTACAGCGTTTCTTTACATCCTTGATTGTCAGTAGTTTATGATGTGAAGGTATTTTTCATGTCAAAGGCTTATTTTGTATAATGTGTCAATAGTGATGTGTTACGTTGTTGTCAACGTCGCTTACTATACTTGAAGTCTCAGCTGTGGAGGAATTCTTAGTCGAGTAGTATAACATCCATGAACATGACTGCAGCGGGGCCAAGGGTTGGATATGGAGTGGGTGCCTTTCATGAACCTCTGCTTGGCACCCATGGTCTGTAAATGTAAACCCAGTAGTTTACATACGCCCATACTGTAATTTTCCCCTGGGTGGAATTTTTTTTTTATGTGTGACAACCAAGAGACATTTTGATAGAAAAAAAAAAATGAAGTCAAGTAAATAATTTTGAGGTTTGGACTGTTGGTCTCACGTTCAATAACAATGTGTTCTGATGTTTTATAGATCAAAATCTAAATTGATTTGTCTTACAATTATCACTGATAAGGGGAAAAATAATGCTCTTTTTATAAATTCAATAAAAAAATGAAAAATTTGAAGTGAATCTGCCTTAGTTTAGTTTCTTTTAGTTGTCATATGTGGGCTTGTGTTATTAAACTCAAGCCAAAGTAGTTGTCAGACAAATTGCAAATATATTATTATATGAAAGTTCAAAAAACAAACCCACCTCTGCAATTTCTTTTTTTTTAATCTAGCAAAACATGTAAAGGCGTATTACAAAACACTTGTTTCTTAACCTTTTAGTAATTTTTGGGAAAGGCATACGCGCTTCCAGCTGTCTTTTTGTTCCACGCTGCCAAACACAATAAAACTATACACTTGGTAGACGAGGTTTATTTGGAAGAGAGCTGCTAGTCGTTACAAAGAAGTAATTTATTCAAATAAAAAATAAATCTGAGATCAGGCCTTTCTCGTTTTACTTCCTTTGTTGTGAGTAACAGTAGTTATTGCAAAACCTTTACACACTCATGGCGTCCACAGTTTTGTTGGAACTTTGTAATTTCTCATCTTTAATTTTGAACGTAATAATATTAAAATACAAATTATAATAATAATGGCATGAGTAGAAAAACAAGTTGGGGAAAAAAGGAGTGAATACAAGCCAAAGGCACAGCAAACAAAACAAATACCACCAGATTTCCCTGCACAGGTATGTGGGCGGCTTCATCTCCGCTAAGCCTAATCATCTCGGGGTCAGATGTAGGTTGAAAGCAGTATCCCGTGCCACGTTGCTGTCGCTGCCTATCACAGCCAAATATTTCAGGCGTCGTACTATCACGTTTGGCTACGCTGCAGAGAGATGATTCAAACCAGAGTTAGTGGGAGCTGACATACCTTGTTGACCCAATTATTACTCACTTCTCTGTTGCCACATCCGATTATCGTCAGACAACAGGCTCGAGTCTGCCAGCGTCATCAGGTGATTGAGATGAACACTGGCTGGCTCTGTGAAGTTGACTATCAAGGAATGTGTCATGAACCGGATGATCAGAAAATGGCTGCCAAATGTTTGCATCAGTCTCTGTGATGAGGGATTTCTGCCAGTAACATCCCACTTTGAACGTGAGCTGATGAGAGGTGGATTACTTTTGACAGGCTCTGGCAAAACTCGGCTGTTTAGCCCCGTTCTGTTGTTTGGATTTAATAAAAGTGTTACAGTAGAAACTGAAAATTGTTCATATTAGAAATTATTTAAGTCATTATTTATTGTAAGAGACACTGACGATGCCATAAATTGAAGAAAAGTTTTGTTTTAGAAGCACAGACATGGATATTTGATGGCGCCCGGGGTCCCATACATACACATTGTCTGATAGCAGCACGACCTTCAGAGCGAGGACTGAAATGCCATTCATCGGTGTGGAGAAATGTGCAGCACTGCAGCGGTGATTTAGCACAGTGGAATTTACCAAATAGCTCAATCTTGTGTGAGTTTCCTGTTTTAGCCCTGAAGCCGCCCCCCCCCCCTCCTGGATTAAAGATCAGATGAGACATTTGTCATCTGACCACTTTTAACAGTCATCTTGCCTTTGGGTTTTCACAGAGAACAGAAAAAATGTTGGCTCTTTTCTTTGCTTTCACCGAGCATATTTGAAGGAAGATGCTTCCCGAGGCCATTTCGAGCTACATTAAACGCTGTCTTTTGCATGATGTCAAAGACCTTGGCCAAGCATTGTGCAGAAAAAAAACTGGCAAAAGTAGCAGATCACTGTATAGGTTTCTCTGTTGTTCAGGTTTTGAGATTATTTGCACATAAAAAAATAGAAATATAATATAATGGCTAAGATTTCTTTAAAAAAAGAGCATTTCAGTATTGAGTCTTTCATTTCCAGGCTTGGAGTTTAAAATAGGTTCTTTGGCAGTGAGAGTGGGATGTGTGAGCAAGCTTCACACTCCTTAAATTGCTGGCTCGTCAATATTTTTCATATCCATCTCCCCTCTTTGTTATCAGGGGTCGCTGATGTTTCAAGTATTCAAATATCCTTGGTGGATGCCTCGCAGCTCCTTACGTCACGGGAAACTTCTCAATTTCACTGTGGCACTGATGCCTTTTCTCATTGGGTTGTGTAGTGCTCTGGGGGAAACCCACTACAAAGACATGCAAACACAAAATTACTGACCTAGGACCTCATTCAAAGTTTATGAAATGCTTTCAGTGCCCGTGGGTCAGCTAATGCTAGGACCGTGGAGTATCATTGAAATGAGAGGAAGGGTTGATTCACATCTTTGCTGTTCTCTTTTTTTAAACAGTCTCTGAAACCCTTTATGAAAGAACTGTGTTTTTATATAATCGCTCTATTAAAGCAATTAAGTAACTAAATGGTGCAATTATGCAAAGGTTTTTTTCAGTGTACATTGAGAAAGTTAAACAAGACCTGTTTTAAAATAATGTTCATGTGCACAGCAGACAGAGCTTTAAATGAAGACTGAATAATTTCAGCACAGTTAGCAGTTTTGATTTGGAAATTGCTTTTTAATAAAGCTGCTGTAGGAGATAAGCGTGGCTCACACTGTACACTCGTTTTCGTTTTGCACAGTTTTGCCAAATTAAGTAATTTGTGCAGGATCAGTAACTGACAGCACGTTTGCATTTTAACACTCTGTTTAGATGTTGGTAGACTAGCTGCTCATGCAGTGTACTGCAGATATTAAGTAGATGAACAGGTGTTTTCACAATGTATATTAGTTGGTTATCTATACACCTAGATATATTACAGTAGTCATATACAGTGCATTATTGCATTATTACTCATTTGTTTTACAATACCCCCAAATTGTAAGCATAGGCCTGTAAACTCCACTATTGATCAGGGCTTAGCCTGCAGGTTAAGTCAGTGTATGACTGAAGTACCAAAGCCATCTCGGCATATTGTGAACTGTGCTGTAAAGATGGTTCTCCAGCAGCTCCGTCGGATTTTTATCGGTGATCACTCTGCAGTCCCCTCTCCCTCTCTATCGCTTTTGATTACCCACACACAAAAATACAAATCCCTCAGGATACAAATTCACTTTCACAGAATAATTACAAGATGCTATATGCCACAGTAAACAGCACATCAGTGACAGTGACAGTATGCATTTGTCATGAGATGAGACAAAAGCAGAATGAATTTGCACTTATGAACAGAAAGAGAGGAGGATTTTTGTGTGTGTTGCATGCTGAGTGTGCTATGGGCATTTGTTCCAATCTCACCACAAATAAGCCTTAATGTTTCACACGGGATTTGCTGCCGAAGAGAGGAAATTTGTATTAGAACATTTTGTTTTGACAGATTGTCTGTTTTACCCTTCCCCTTTTTAGTGTGAAAATCTGGGGACATTTTTGCTCTCTCTTGCAGTCTTTGTTCTTTTTTTACAGTTAGTTTTTTTTCCATTTCTAGTGACGTCAGAGATAAAACTGCAGGATTCATTTTAGGGAACTTTTTTTTTGTCGTTGTGATCAACCATAAAATAGATGATTTGCACTGTGTTCACTGCTCCAAAAGAAAGGAAGTAAATGCCCCATTCAAATGCTGATACAACCCCATTACCATGATATCTTCAGAGCAGCAAGACTATCTTCTAAAAGGAAATTGCTGTGACCCGTTGCACTCAGAGATAGGGCTGTTGGATATAACGATATAGATCGGATGACGATATGAAAACGTCTGTCATTTGTTTCGTGGTGTCGCAAAATAAACTGTTTACGTCAATAATTTTTCATTGTTTTGATGGTCACCGTCACCGTAGAATTTCTCTCTTGTATTTAACATAACCACACTACGGACGGACAAGGATATGTTTTATGCGTTGTTGTTAGCAACAACGACGGTAACACCATCGCGTGTCCGCTTGTTTATTTTCCACATAAACCTTTCACAATAAAGCTCAAGATCCTGTTGAGATTTTTCAAAATAAACGGAGTCACATGAAATAGTATGCAGAGTGTTTATGTATGAGAAACAAAAAAACAGCCGTCAGGTGCAAAAAAAAAAACCTTAGAAGAGGCTTTTCTCTGCAGCACGCCCTGTAATAAATACTCAGAAA